ACTGGGGTTGCAATTGTTGAGGCAACTAGATATGTCTGATTACAGCAAATGTGTTATTGTCAATTTGTAGGTGAAAGATTTTATCCTCAATAGATGTATTGTAGGTTAACATTTCACTTGTAGGCAAATGCTTAAAAAGCCTCAGTAAGGAATCATATTCCTTTAACACATAATATCTGACCAGTATGGGAGGATCATCGTGTCTCCGCCAGGGGTCGAGAGTGGTGGTCCAGCAGGCGTCAGGGATTTTTTTTTTTGGGGGGTAGGGCGCCGACCGTAGAGGTGATCAGCGATTGACTGTATATACATATACATATATATCCTGTTAACGTTATCAAGACTCCGCAAAATTTCATGATATATTAGCTACAAATGGATGCGTACTTAGTTGTTATACAAAATAATAACACAACGACAATAATTTCAAAAACTATAATTTAATTCTTTTCACTTGACATCTTGCCGCACTCTCTCATCCAGTACACCAGCACTAATATACGTAATTTTTCACTTTGCATGGTTGGTGCAAGCTCCTGGCTGTCTCTGTTTACGACTGGCTTATAGGGCGGGAACTCATATGTGGACGGTGCAACGTTTGGCCAGTGAATGGTTGTACGCTCTGATAATGTCTACATGTATTAATTTTGGGGGGTTTTAGGCTATATGCTTACCTGATTTACATCATCATCAGTGCATTGGCCGCCTTTTGGCTCGTTTGCTTGAAGTAGGAAGAACAGCGGTTTTTACCCGAACCACAAACACTTCTTAGGGGAACAACCACTTCGTTTAGAATCACTCAACTTTTTATGTTCTCCTAAATTGTGTCTTTAAGGAATACATTTTTTTTCCATTTCAATAAAGTTTACATTATGCTCATTTGCAAGTTTCTGTATGGCGTCTTTCTTTTTCTTCGGTTTTTATAATATGGACATGTGACATTCAACAAAGAAGGAGTGGCGTGTAGCATCTCAATTACAGAAAGTGTTGTTTCAGTTGTCCACATGATGCTGAAAATAAAAGATATCAACTACGCGTAGTACTATTTACAAAGGAAACAATAATGCATGTAGTAGTAGTGTCAGCAAACCCACCTCACAGATCACAAGCTGAACATCAACTGATCCTCCATGGGAAACAAGAAACATCCTAAATCGTGTTTCTGGATTATTGTGAGACAGTCGCACAATAAATTTGGATTTTTCTGAGACAGCCGCTAAACAGACCAGAGACAATGTTGCTCAACAATGTATCTTGGTGTGTACACAGCCTAAGAAGCATTCCCAAAAGAGGGTGAAGGTAGTCTTAGGTTTAAAGTTTTTATCTTATAAAATGTCATAGACTAAAATTAGCAGAATATAACTTGCATTGCTGGAACCCTTGCAAGACGGTGAATAAATTGAATGAAGACTTCATATATTTTGCACAAGAGATAAATTTTAGTCCTTTAGTGTAGTGCATTTAAGTGTAAGTTTTTCAACTCGTATTTTTGGGTAGATATACGTGTAACAGCACCATTTGTATTATATAAATATTTACCCAAATGTATAATACCAAAATATTCACCAGGTCATCCACCAATGTGTGTGTATGAATGAATTGGTGAGTTGACATTTCCTCCGGGGAGCGAGAGAGGTCAAGCTGGGTCAGCTCATCTCAGCAACAACATATCTGATGCGTTTCCTTTCGAGGCCTGCTTGTCCACCCTCTCTCCCAGGTGTGAGAGAGAGAGACTCTCATATCACTTGTTACCCAGTGAACACCTCACTTAAGGTTCTCCAATAAGTGCACTAAGCCACTTCCCTTAGTATAGAAGGTACAATATATTCTCAACTGAACTCAGTGCCTGCGAAACTATATTTTCTACAAGAAAAGAAAACCAACAAAGTATTTACTTCAGCCCTGCCACTTATCAATTCAAGAACTAATATATACAGTGATCCCCCGGTTAACGAAATTTCGGTTAATGAATTACCTTCTGTAAGATTCTTAACTTCGGTTAACGAGCATTCCCTCGATTAACGAATTCCTTACGAGTGCCCCTCAACATGTTTTCGCTTGCACACTAGCTGTCATATTAGTCCGCCAATACAGTAATCGGTTCTAGGACTTAAATTCCTTAGTATTTTAGTAAATATCAAGAAGTTTGTACTATTCAACAATTTTAAAAGTCTTATATTAAAATTGTTAGTCATTTTAACAATTATTTAACATAATTTAAGTACAGGGAAACTAGTTTTTAGCGCGCCAAAACAGCCTGTCAACACACCTTACAGGCGTCAGTCTCTGTCTCTTTTCAGTGGAGGTAACATCTTGCTTCAGACTCTCTCAAACATAAATGCTTTTTTCTGTGTTTCCAGTCAAATTGTTGGTCATTTTGAAATTTATTTCACATATTGACAATTTATAATGCAGTGCAGTGTTGATTTAAAGAAAATAATCTTGAATTACACCAAGTGAACTAAAATTTTATGGGTGAAATAGCGCCATGGAGTGACTTCTCTTCCACCCCAATGCCTTCTCTTCTCCCTTCTCCTCCACCCCCATTCTAATTCCCATCATCATCATCATCATCATCATCCAGGAGCCTTCTACATACACACCTCAAAGTAAGTGTACTTTACTACTTTTTTTGTTGACTTTAGGCAATTTTCGGTGATCTGGAACAAATGACCCAAAAACCCATTGAAACAATGGTTTCGGTTAACGAATTTTTCGGTTAACGAGCAACCTTCTAGAATGAATTGTGCTCGTTAACCGAGGGACCACTGTATATAAATATATATACAGTTGTACCCCACTTAACGCGGTCAATAGAACCCAGAGGGTCCCGCGTTAAGTGAAATCCGCGTTAAGTGAACAACAGAACATATGGGATTAATTCCAATAGAAACCAGCCCGACCCCCAAACTCCACTTTTTGAAGACACATAACTATGTTGTAGTAAAAATAACATCTTAATTTTATGATGGTACATGCACACAATTAATACTTAAGAGAAATAGAGAAATACAGTCGCCAAGTTAATGTCCATTCAAATAATGGACTCAACTCCCTCCCCCTCTTCTCACACTACACTGCTGGCTCTTCCCTCTCTGAGAAATTTTTGGGGGAAAACCACTAAATTTTAATAAATAATACCTCAAACTAAAGTTAGGATAATACAATTGACATTGCTGGATTCCTTGTAAGACCAGGAATATTTTGAATATAAATGTCATATATTTTGCACAAAAGATAACATAGTTACTCTGAGAAAAAATTTTATCTAAAATTTGTATGTCTAATGCAAAATATATTATGTTTATATTCAAAATAATCACCAAATTATAAGAATTCCAGCAATGTAAATTATATTCTGACCGGGCAATTTGTATGAATTTTGTGAGCTAGAACAGGCAGTCAGGCAGGGTGGGGGGTGGGGTCAAATCTAAAAATAGCGTCTCGAGCCGGACACTCACCGCGTATATGTGGAAAAAATCCGTGTTAAGTGAAAGTTCAGCTCTGGCAAGGCACCGCGTATATGATAAAACGCGTTAAGTGAAACCGCGTTAGGCGGGGTAATACTGTACTGTATTGTGTGACCAACACATGCGTAACTTCCTTTACTTAATTTTACTTAGTTACTTGCACACACCATCCAAAATACATATTGTGAAAAAAGTAAAAGAAATAATTGTCCTAAGGGTAAACCTGTACTGTACTCAAATGTACTACTGTAAATAATTACCAGAAGTCTTATTTTTAATGCAAACTATAGCATGTTTATATTCAAATTAATCGCTATCTTGCAAGAATTCCAGCAATGTAAGATATACCGGTATTCTCCCAGGTCAATTCAGTGACATTTTATAAGCAAAAAACTCTATCTTTATGACAGATAAACAAATACCACTAGGTAACCTTCGCTGCCGGCTGGTCAAGACCTCACTTCACCTCACCCCCCCCTCCTCCCCCCTGCCTGGCTGTTAACACATCACCTCCTCCTTCCCAGGGGTGAAGGTAGTTTTAGGCTTAAAGTTTTTATCTTATAATATTTCACAGACTTAACTTAGCAGAATATAACTTGCATTGCTGGAATTCTTGCAAGATAACAAATATTTTTAGTATAAACAGTAATACAGTGACTCAGTGGAACCAATTGTGCTCGTTAATGGAGGAACCACTATAAACATCACTTAGTTTGCACAAGAGATAAAAATTTTAGTCCTTTAGTGTAGTACAGTTGAGTACAAAATGTGTACAGTAATGTTGCTCAAAATTATGGATTTTTCACATTTAATTTACATTTAACATTTGTTTAATGTAAGTTTCTAGCAGTCCATGGTGCTTTAGAGACACAGGAGGTGTAAGATTAGTGGGTCAGAGGTGTATTGTTGAATTATTATTACCTGACCTCGGCTAGTCTGCCAAATGGATAATCCGGCAAGGTTTTCGAACCAAGGGTGCCGGATAATCAGTGGTGGACCTGTAGTTTTATATTATAGGTTCTTTATTTCTAAGTCACATTAGAGCATTGAAATGATATTTTCACATCTTTCCTCAAGCTTTTGTCCTTATTTAAGACATTTTCAGAAAATGCTCTTGATTTTCAACCTCAGAATTTGTTCCCAAAGCTGTAATTTTCTGGAAATTCCAGCTTTAGGAATTATTTTCTGAGAAAATTTCAATTCTGGATATTAGAGTGGGATTCTGGCTAACAGAGATATTACTATGGATATCAATACTGTATAATCAAACACCAGTTGTCAAAGCTGATCTTAATCTTAATTTCATATGCTAATTGGTGTGTTATATGATAAAAAGAATTTGAATTGCAGTATAGGAAAAATATTTGTGAAAAAAAATAAATTGTACTAGATTTTAAATTTCTGTATTCTTTTACAAAATAAAATTTTGCAGATATAATTGCCACATATATGTATAGTTGTTTATATTTTGCAATGCATAGATGCCTGGTGATGTTTTTCAAACATGTTTTTCAAATATGTTTATTTTTACAGAAGCAGTGAAAAGCAGATGGAAGTGTTGTGTACAGAGGGAACTGTTCCAACCATCATCAACCTCATCACTGATAATGAAAATGCCTCAGCATTGCAACTCACCCTGACAAAGTTAGAAAAGGTAAGGCTGCATTACTTAACTTTCTTTGAGACAAATATCCATACTGTATATATTGTTTTATTGAACTCCTTTCCCCTTTTGTGTGAAGTGGATCTTACTTTACAGAGATCTCCAATATTGTACAGTACTGGCATTACTGTGCTGTTAAAGGGATAATGGTATAAGACAAAACTCGAAAATGACAAGAAAGGGCTGTGTCATTAGGTAGGTAGTAGGCAGCTAACAAACAGGGAGGTACTACCGCCTGGGAAGATATTGGAAGCATAATGTGTTGTCTAATGGTAGACCCTGCTGCCATATCGCATCACAAAAATTGTGACCAAGTCCCAGGATGCTCATCTGACTTTCTGCCTCATTTACACACAATTGCAGGGTCTCAATTGTTTCTCTTACTTTGACAACACAACATACATAATGTATTGTTTCTCACTATTTATCTTTTCTTTTTTTTGGTATTTATTTATTATCGTTATTATTAATATTAATATTATTATTATTATGTACAAGTATTAGTATTATCTTGTTATTATTATTATTACATTGTATTTTTATTCAATAAAAAAAAGAGTAACCAGTTATTCAGTTATACAGTACAAGTATATTAAATCCTAGTTCAACCCTTTGTGCTGAATGCAGCGGTCAGGTGTTAGCCAAGTGAAATATAAAGAGTGGCTTCCCTGTAGTGAAAGGGTTAATGATTAGGACACAATAGTACAGTGATACAAGCAATGACCATTATACAATGGGGTTGGGGACCTCAAAAAGCGATCGCTAAGGGATTGATCATATATTGATACAGTATTCCTAACTTATGGGGAAAAATAGGTTCCATTCCTGAGCCCCTGAAGATTCCAAACAAGTTTTATATCCTGCTGCTATAAAAGGATTCATATTTGTGGTAACTTACCTTCTAATCAAACTAGCTTTTGATTTGGGATTTCGTTGCTTGCAGAAACCCAACAACATAAGCCATCATATTAGGTCATCAATTTCATTGTCTTTGATCACAAAACACCCAAATTACACCTCTAACATTACTTTTTCGCAAAATAACATGCACCTCCATCATATTGAACAAGTCATCAACTGGTTTGCCCAGAATATATTGTGGTAAACAAATGATGATGTAATTATGCTTAGGCCTCATTGTGGTTTGTGGTGTTCACTGGCTAATGTTATACAGTAATTGGATTTGTTTCTTTCAACCTTTGTTTGTGCCTTTTATCTAGAAATCTCTTCTCAGATATTTGAATATAATGGGAAGTTGTATCTGATTATGGAGATGCAACCTAGGTTTTCAACTTGTACACTTATTTAATACATACCTGATTCAATAGATCCAATTTCAGTAATAAAATGGGATTTCAGGAGTGATCTATCATTTCTGAAAGAAAGCAATATACAGTACTCTTAAATGTTTGTTCATCCTGCCGGAAATTAGGGAAATAACTTGAATAATATTGGATAATAAGAGATGGTATTGTTATTCAAAAGCAATCCAGAATGCCATCCATAAAACACTGACACATAGTCTATGACCAAGTGCAACCCCACAGTAAAGGGATCTAAAGATTCATAGACATTTGTTGGATTTAAACAAGCTGGCATTGATCTCATTTAGGGATACTATTGTTTAAAAATTTATAAAATAATTCTGCCAAGATACTTTCTTAAATCATTAGTATCATTACAGGTTCCTATTGTTGGTCATGGAATGGGAAGAAAATGTAAGATAGTTCAACCGATGACTATTGAGGAAGCCATTAACAGAATTAAGTCTCATCTTGGATTGCCATATGTGCGGTTAGCCCTAGCACATGGTGCAAAGCTTGGTAAGTTGAACCTTTTCATAAATACATTCTGTATTATCTCAACCTCTCAACCTGTAGACTTAAGTTACTATTACTTTTCTCCTCAGAGTAAAATTAATTAAGAATTACCATATTTTATGGCATATAAGATGCACTTTTTTGTATGAAAAAGGCTAAAATAATCAGCCTGCATTCTATATGTGATGTTGAGGTCTCCCGTAGCTAATGAATCCCACAGATGCTGTCTCCAGTAGGCAAAATTCTACCTAACCCAATTCGAGAATTATAGATATTTTATTGTTTGCTTAAACATATTATTTTTAATTAAAAAATAATTATTGTAAATATAAAAGCTTGATTTATAAGTACTGTACTGATGATGATAACCTGAGATGATTAACATCCATTATAGCAGATACCCAACTTTTCAGAGGTAGCTAAGCAGTAACCATTTCTGAACCCTTACAAGCATTACAATCTATTAATGCCATACAGTACCTGCAACATTTATTTTTAAATCTACAAATACCTACAGATAACTTTCTGTTCACATTTGCATCTGTTATCATCTGGTAGCCTTGTAGCAAAGTTAGACTTGGCTCAATGTAACCATCAGGCTACTGGGCCAAGCTGTGGGGTGTTATGGTGATTTTTCATCTCGCATTTTTCGGGAAGATAGACGTAACATTCTTCATTTATTTTTACTCAGTTACATGCAAGTACCATCCTACATACATATTGTGAAAAAGTAAATGAAATAATTGTCCTGAGGGCAAACATATAAAGAGACTATACATTTCTTTGCACACGAGTTAGCTGGCTCAGTGGGGGAGCAGGAGGAGGCAAGGCATGTGGGGGAGGGGAGCATTGCTAGGGAATCAGCAGTGGTAGCGTCTCTGTTGCTATGGTGAACTAGGGAGTACAGCATGCCCTTAAAATTCGCAGGGATTAGATTCTCAAGATGGCCGCGAATCGCCAAGTCCGCGAATAACATTTGCTGACCGGGGGAGGGGGGTTACATTTTTACTTGTGTACAAAGAAATGTATATTCCCTTTTATGTGTTTGCCCTTAGGACAATTATTTCTCTTACCTGTATTGTATATATATATATATGTGTGTGTGTGTGTGTGTGTAGACACACACACACAAAACACAAACAAAGAAATAATAATGGGAAAATCTTCTCACAAATAATCAGAAACAATTGTATTAAAAATTTTGAGTCTACCCTCAAGTCCACTCTATGCTTTATTACTAACAAAGCATGGAGTGGACTTGAGGGTAGACTCAACATTTTTAATATATTTGTGAGAGGATTTTTCCCATTATTACAGTAGAATGTCGATTTAAAGCGATTCAATTTAAGATTATTGTGTAAAAGCGACACCCACAATGTTTTAATTTAAAGCGAATCTTTCCTATTTTGCATTAGTCAATCTGGTGTCTCATATTTAAAAATTTGCGCCTAATGTTTCTCTGGGCACACTACACTGTCCTACGGCTAAAGCTGTACTGTACATGTACTCAAAACAATGTACTAAATGATTACTATAGCATGATTATACAGTCAACCCTCACTTTACGCGGTCCCACATTCCGCGTTTCCACGTTTACGCGGTGCCCTGCCAGAACCCAGGATGCTCACATTCCGCGGTGGGTGTACCCCTTTACACGGTGAAGTATAATTTTTTTTAATTTAGCTCATAAAATTCATACAAATTATCCGGCCAGAATATAATTTACATTGCTGAAATTCTTACAATTTGATGATCATTTTGAATATAAACATCATAGATTTTGCATTAGACATACAAATTTTAGATATAATGTTTACTCTTGAGTAAATATGTTATCTTTTGTGCAAAATATATGATATTTATATTCAAAATATTCCTGGTCTTACAAGGAATCCAGCAATGTCAATTATATTATCCTAACTTTAGTCTGATTTATTATTTATTACTAAAAAGGTAAACAGTCTGGTATTCCCACACATTTATCTAGTAGGGACGTTGGTGGGGGGTGGGGGGGGAGGGAGGGAGGGACCGGCGACCGACCATCTGTTACCGTGTGAAGAATATTTTTTTTTTTATTAACTGAAGATTTTTATTTTAGCTCATAAAATTCATACAAATTACCCGGCCAGAATATAATTTACATTGCTGGAATTCTTACAATTTGGTGATCATTTTGAATATAAACATCATATATTTTGCATTAGACATAAAATTTTTAGATAAAATGTTTAATCTGAGTAAGTATGTTATCTTTTGTGCAAAATATATGACGTTTATATTCAAAATATTCCTGGTCTTACAAGGAATCCAGCAGTGTCAATTATATTATCCTAACTTTAATCTGAGGTATTATTTAATACAAAATGTTAAAATCTAAATTTTTCACCCAACATCTCTTGAAGGGAGGATTGGTGGGGGGTGGGGGGGGAGGGTTGGGACTGACCCCTCGGTTGGAAGAGGGGGGGAGGCAAGGTGGGGTACTTTGATTGACAGATAGTGTCGTGAAGAATATTTTTTTTTTTTTATTAACTGAAGATATTTGTTTTAGCTCATAAAATTCATACAAATTACCCGGCCAGAATATAATTTACATTGCTGGAATTCATACAATTTGGTGATCATTTTGAATATAAACATCATATATTTTGCATTAGACATAACATTTTTAGATAAAATGTTTAATCTGAGTAAGTATGTTATCTTTTGTGAAAAATATATGACATTTATATTCAAAATATTCCTGGTCTTACAAGGAATCCAGCAATGTCAATTATATTATCCTAACTTTAGTTTGAGGTATTATTTATTACTATACCTGGTTTTCCCCCCAAAATTTCTCAGAGGGGGGAAGAGCCGGCAGTGTAGTGTGAGAGGGGGAGGGAGTCCTGTCCATTATTTGAATGGACATTAACTTGGCGACTGTATTTCTCTATTTCTCTTAAGTATTAATTGTGTGCATGTACCATCATAAAATTAAGATGTTATTTTTACTACAACATAGTTATGTGTCGTCAAAAAGTGGAGTTTGGGGATCGGCCTGGACTCCATTTCAATTAATCCCATATGTTATGTTATTCACTTTACGCGTTTCTCGCTTTCCGCGGTACCCTCCGGGTTACATTAACCGCGTAAAGTGAGGGTTAACTGTATTCAAATTAATCACTATCTTGTAAGAATTCCAGCAATGTAAATTATATTCTCCCTGGTCACTTCTGTGACATTTTATAAACAAAAAACAAAAACTCAATATAAAGGACATAAATAAACAAATAAATACTTCACTAGACCTTCGGCCCCAACTGTCACACGTGTCACTGTCACCTCCCTCCCCATCTTCCCAGCCAGGGTTGGGTGATTATAAGCTTACAGTTTTTATCTTATACAATATCACAGACTAAAGTTAGGAAAATATAATTTGCATTGCTAGAGTCCTTGCAAGACCGAATAATTTGAATATAAACATCATATATTTTGCACAAGAGATAAAAATTTTAGCCCTTTGTAATAAAATTAATTAGAACATGTCAGTTCAGTGACATTTTATAAGAGAAAAACTTAAAGTCACTCTTAAGGGCAGATAAATAAATAAGCACTAGACCTTGGCATCATCTGTCAAGCATATCACCTGACCTCTCCACCCCCATCTTCCCATCAGCTGATCACTAGTAAATAGACCATTTCACGTCCCATAATTTTAGCTGTGTTGATTTATGAGTGTTTGTTTTAACATAATTCTACAAAAAACAATGTTTTGTTTAATCTAGGAGATGGGCTGAGGCGCATCTGGGCAGACTCAGTCATTTTAGTATTTTGTGATTCTCTCAATTACCAAACTAAATTATTCTATTGAAACAACACTTCCATTTAGTGCGAATTCGGTTTTAAGTGACCTCTCTTGGAATGTATCTTGTGTTATATTGACGTTCTACTGTATTTATTTGTATGTGTCTACACACACACACACACATATATATACAATGCATGTAAAGAAAATTACTGTCTCTAGAACGAATGGCTCCCTGTTCTAGCTGCGAAAATGCCAGCAACTTTAAAACTACCCTTAGACATTCCTGGGTACATCCAGGGTGTCATCCGCGAATAATCGAGGTCCGTGAAATAAAAATCTGCAAATTTGAAGGGCATCCTTTATATGCATATGGTGACTGTGTTAAACTTTCATTTGGCTTTTATTAACTGTTTTGGCAATGCAATATTTTTTTGTGTAACTTATTTATTGGTATTACCTGTATTTTTATTTATTCCTCACATATGCTTGTATATTAGCCAATTTTGGCGGTGTCTCTCTGTTAGCTGTTCCTTTGTTGCTGGTGTTCGGTGATGTATTTCAGCATCATCTAGCCTCTTTTGTACAGGCCATGGTGTCACATTAAGTTGAATGTCTTGTTGTATGACAACTACATTCGTAAATGGGTTTTGATCTGCAGCTTGATGCATCATTTAATCTTGAGTTGGAGTTGTCTCTCTAGGGGCGCCTGATCTATGCCGATGAAGAGGAAAGTCTAGTAAGATTTTCCTCTTCATCCCACCTTTTCAGCCACCAATAAACAGTTTTCCGGTCAATCCCAAGTTCTCTTGCCACCATCTCTCGTACCAACGATTCTTCCTCGTAGAGCAACCTTGGCCTCACGACAATCCATTTTCAAGGCTTGGCGCTGGACAGACAATACGTAAATAGTAAAAACAAATGTATAATTATGTAAATGTAAGTTATATTAAGTAAGTGATATCTGAAACTCACATCACCATGTTTTTAGAATTGCCAATGTAAAAAAAAAAGTTTGAATACTATTTTTCTATTACAGTATTACCCCACTTAACGCGGATTCACTTAACGCGATTTCGCATATACACAGTGCCTCGCCAGAACCGAACTTTCACTTAATGCGGTTTATCTACCCATATACGCGGTGAAGTATAATTTTTTTTTTTTTTATTTATCTCATAAAATTCATACAAATTACCCGGCCAGAATATAATTTACA